CTGGTCCTCCCACTTCCAGTCTCCCTCCCCACCCACTTCTGCTCCTCCACCCACACTTAACTAACTCTTCACAGGAGAGGAGCACCTACCTAATCGTTAGAAATGGAGATGCTCATAGGCACATTGCACTAGGTACCTTAAATATTAAACTGTCCTTAAAGAGTATTGGTGAAAGCTCTCTGCTTTTTTCTCCCACTTCCCAGATTCACATAGTAAGCAGACCCAGGCATGGCCTGACTCTCCAGCATCTTTCATCTTTCTCTCTCTCTCTCTTTTCCTCTTCATCTCCCCCCCCCCTCTCTGAGCATGTAATTGAACAGTATTAGATTTAGGGGAAAAGAAGGAATCTTGCTTTGGTTTATCTGATGAGCCTGTATTCAGAGAGACTTAATAAATCAGCATTTCACTCTTGATGAAATGGTACTCTACTTCTCCTTTGGCTATTAATCCTTGAGTTTGTCATTCTCCTTATCAGGCATCCAGCAGGGAGAAGTTCTAGAAGGCAGAACTATACCCTCTCATTCTTGGGATGCCAGTTAATAACTTCATAATATACACCATACTTCTTCAGCATAATTATTATACTTAATTCTACTCAATAAATCACTGGGCTAATGATGAAATTCCCAAATGAAGGAAACTAACTGTGTGATGGGAGTTTGTTGGGGAATACTGAAAGTTAATTCATCTATGTCCTGAGAAGAGCCTCTTAATTTTCATATTTCACTCAATTGATTAAACCCACCATGATGGGTATTATCTCTGCCATCCTATCCCCAGTGGGTTTTTCCCCCATTTATTAGTTCATAGGATGTTTCAACTATGTCTTAGCCTGGGTTCTCCTGGAAGGAGATCCTGAGACAAAGTCTTGGGTACAGTACTTTTTTTGGGAAGTGATTCTCCTGGAGTGCAGGGATGAAGGATGAAGGAAATAAAACAAGAATTGAGGGAAATTCAATAAAAGAATGCTTTATCAAGTCGGTGCTTAATGCTCAATCTCCCAGGACCTTCTAAGGACTCTAAGCAGGTTCCCTACGAAATCCAATGTCAAGGCACCAGAGAAGCCCTTAGCAGGAAGTTAGAGGAACATAGTGAAGGCACAAGGGGCATCTGTGCAGGTGTAGTCAAGTCCTGCACAGAACTGGAGGTCACAGAAGTAGATGGACTAAAAGATGATATTATGTCCAATACAGTCCTCCTCTACCATTACACAGTCCCTGGTATGCCTTCTTTAAAGTCCAAAATGTTACAGATTCCCCTTCAAGCTAAGCCCAGCCACAGTGTTTGTGAAGACCTCATACAATGGACTGATGAAGCAATCCTGGCTGTTGCAGTTGGCCTGAGGCTAGGACTGATAGCCACCATCCATCCACATCATAAGTTTTCAAGTTCCCTCTCAATCTTGGGCAGGATTTTGGCAGTTCTTGTTTGCTTTTCTGGTTGGATAATCTAGACCTTTATGCTTTAGAAATCAGTCTTTGTTTTTCTTGACCTAGTTGAGCCAAGGTTACTCAATTGCCTATTCACAGCTGTCACTGAACACGGAAGCATCAAAGAGAATTCAGTGAATTACCAAATCCCAGAGCTACTCCTCTCTGATCCCATTATGTAGCAGTAGTACTCCCTCCTTGCGATAATCAGACTCAAGTTCCCCACCAGTATAATAATTCCTGTCTTTACCTGCTGGCCCCCCAACATGAGGATCCAAGAGATACTAGGAGTAGTATAGCTTCATCCAGTGGAAGTCTTACTGGGTCCTATTCTGGAACAGCCTAAGATTGTGGGGACAAATCTGCCCCCTAAATTGAGTCACTGGGAGTGATGGTTAAAAAAGACGATCCTACTTCTACCCCTTGGTTCCCAAACTCCTGTTTTATAATCATAACAAAACAACATCATATATTGACTATTTTTCTCTGAAAGTAAAGCCTGAGCCAGAAGCTCATATACCATATCCAAACCTTTTTCATCATCCACAACTGATACTCCATACCCATTACTTCTCCCCCAGAGTCCCTGGATACTCTTCTACTTTCTATCTCTGTGAATTTGATTATTCTATATCTTCAAATAAGTGGACTCCTCTAACATTTGTTCTTTTCTTTCTGGCTTCTATTCAACATAGTACTGGAAGTTCTAGCCAAAGCAATTAGGCAAGAAAAAGAAATAAAAGGCATCCAAATTGGTGAGGAAGAAGTAAATTTGTCTCTATTCACAGATTATATGATTTTATATGCAAAAAACCATAAAACTTCCACACACAAAAAAAACTATGGAGTGGTGAATATTGTACAACAATGTGAATATACTCAATGTTACTGAATCATATATTTAAAATGGTTAAGATGGCAAATTTTACATGTTGTCTATTTTACCACAATAAAGACAGAAAGAGAAAGAGCACAGAGAGAGAGAAACCATCCTTGATTTTCTTTGATATTGGGAGTTGAGAAAAATGCCAGACCAATAACCATATGCCAATGTCAGAAGTTGTAAGAGGCAGCTGTGTTTCTGGATACCCCTCAATAAACTAATGGCTATGTGGACACAGAAAAGGGAAAAAGCACTTTAACTCAGATAGTCAGGAAAAATAGGATGTAGGTGTCTCATGATAGAGACCTTGAGAACAGGAAGAATTTCCACAGTAGAAGCTGGGATTATTCCAGGCTTTCCAACTCCAGAAGCACGACACTGGCTCTTCTGCCTTGGGAATACTAAAATCTTCTTTATTCGATTGCACTTAAAACATGCTCTGAACCGGGGCGCCTAGGTGGCTCAGTCGTTAAGTGACTGCCTTCAGCTCAGGTCATGGTCCCAGGATCCTGGGATCAAGCCCCCGCATCAGGGTCCCCACCCGGCGGGAAGTCTGCTTCTCTCTCTCCCATTCCCTCTGCTTGTATTCTTGCTCTCATGCTCTCTCTCTCTGTCAAATAAATAAATAAAATCTTTTTTTTAAAAAATGCTCTGAACAATCCACTAAGGTAATTTCCATTTTTATGATTGTTAACTAGCTGAGAAGTAGAAGCCAGCACATAGAAGTAGGAGCCATCAGATACTACCACAAGCAGTATCTGATACTTTGGAATAAAGAGCTGCTCATTGAAATCCAGCGTCTCCCCTACCCCCATTCAAGGTCTCCTGAAAGGAATCCCCTCTGCTCCTCAAGTTCACCAAATGGACTTAAGAAACGTAATGTCCAAGTCCATTAGGCTACTTACTGTAACAAAATTAACTATAAATTTAAAATCCTCTTAAGGTTTTCAATCCTTAGAATTAAAGATGGTTATTACAAGATTTACTTACAATTAAATCATATATATCAAAATATTACTAGGGACACCTGCCTCTTTATTTTTCCATACCTTTCTTTAATCTGTGTTTCAACCCCTTCTTTCCCTGCAGCCACATGAAAGATGAATCTGAAGCCTTTTCAGTGTTTACATTTTGTGTCGTCCAAGCAGCCTCATGGCATCTTTGCCAACAGCCTTGTCTAGAACATGGGACTTTATGTCTCCTTAATATAAGCAACCCCTTTCTTTCACAGTATGGAAATGAAGAATCTGTATAACCTCATCAGATTTCTTACGTGGACCCAAGTTGGAAAGCATAGGCTCAGTGTCAGTTTCTTCACTGTCTGCAGACTTTGTGCTGTGACTTTGTCAGCTCTTTAGCAAATTACATGCAAGATAAAGAGGACAATCCCTGCCTGCTGATAAAACACATTCTTCTTCATTCTCCTTTTCCTACCACCTAATGAATAACACCATAGAACAGAAGTCATTATATCCTTTATGTAACAAATGTATAATTACAACACATAGAGCCAAAAAAAAAAAAAAATGCAGGAAGTAGAGAGTTATTTCAGAACGGTGAACACAGTTTTTCAACTCTGAAATCTTTTAACAGCATGATGTTTTTGAACATCTCAACTAGATGATGATTTTGCTGGCTACATGTGTATTTCAGCCTTCTGCCGTTTGGAAAAAATTTGGAAAGAGGAAGGAATTTTTAAATTTACTTTATTTTCCTAATTTTTGATGCATAAAGCACTTGCCTGGGACATCACTGACTCTTCACCGCAACCTTACGGTCTAGGCATTATTATGTCATTTTAAAATAGCAGAAGCAGAGAAGTGCTAAGAAATTTGCTCAAGGTCAGTCTCCAAAAAGGTGGAGCCTAGATTCAGACAGGATCCAGTTAGCCTTTGACTCTTCAGAATTCAGGACATTTCTCTTTGGAATTCAGTATTAAAAAATTACCATTAGAGTTTTTAGCTTTACAAAAACAAAAGTTTAGGTTTTCTTAAGAATAAATTTTGCATATATAATACATATTAATAATATGTCTATAAAATCTGTGTCTCAAAACTTACTTATTAAACATTAAAAGAAACGTTTCTTATGATTATTTGACTTCCCAATATTACCAGATTTTGCTTCAACATAAAACAGAAAGCTATATTTAATGGCATTAATTCCAAAGAGTTCACTAATTTAATACTCTAGGTAATTTTCTTCTCTATACATTTTTTAGTATTGAGATCTATGTAGAATATTAGCATCCATTCTTTTAAGGAACTTAATTTCTATATATTTCAAGCCAACCCACTAGAAAAGAAAAAAGGGGGAGTGAAATCGGAGGAATAAGAAAAGTGAACTGAGGTAGCAGCCAAGAGGCTTACAGAATGGAGTTCTTCTGCCACCTCGTGGTTGTTCTGTGTTATAGCCAGAGCCACTTTATTCAATATTTTTTTTTTTTTTAGAACTGTTTTGATATATTCTTAGTTCCAACAGATAGTTTACTAAGTGGTTTCCAAATCTGGATGTCCAACGCAGTCACTCAGAAAACATTCAGGGGACCCATCCCTTGATATTTTGATAAGTATTTGGGGAAAAGGCCTGGGAGAGTTTCCCAGTTATCCCCGTCGAGAGTGACGCCCTTGATTCCGCATCGGACGCATCAAAAGCGGGAAGCTTTTTATGAACAATCAGTACTCCCTTCATTCTGGGGTCTGAACTCCGTTTGGTGCCTCTCTTTAGCTGAGCGTCACCACGTGACTGAGCTCTGGCCGCCGCCGCCCTTCTTGACCGTTCTTGTCCCGTTCCCATTTTCTTCTCCCTGGATATTTCGGCTAATTTTGATTTTGTTGACAACCTCTTTCTTGAAAATTTTCCTCTGCGGGGTTGAGTTATATTTCCTCTCCTTGTTCTCCTCCTACCAGACAAACAGACGAACATCATCGGAGTCAAAGTCGAAAGTCTCACCCCCCCGGAAGGACCTGGCCTCCCTGCGTGTCCAGCACATCAGGCAGTCCTCCCCTCATGGCCTCGGCCAACCTCGCATTTCTGGCTCCACACTTGCCTCAAATACCTGCATGGGACCTGTCCCCACCTCGTTCAAGTCTTTGTTCAAACATTTCTTCTCACTGCTGCTACTCCTACTTATAAATGCAACTTCTTCCCAACAAGTGTCTTATTCTTGCCCTCTTGCTTTATTTTTTTCCCTAGTATGTACAATATTCAACATACTACCCAATTTTAATACTTGTTAGGTTTATTGTCTTAACCCTAGAATACAAAATCCATAAGAACAGGGATTTCTGTTTTCTCCACTGTCTTGTGCTCAGAAACATAAATAGTGTCTTGCACCTACATTGTGGGTGCTCAAAAAAATGCTTGTGCAGGAACTGAATGAAAGAAGGGTTGAATGAATGAGTGATGGTCCACACGGTTGGTAAATAAGCACAGAGAACACTATTCAGCCTCACAAGTATTCAAACATACAAATTAACACCAAATACCATATTTTTTTTGTTGATTTTTCAACTTATAATGGTCTTAAAATATTCCTAGAACCAGTGAGGTTGTAGTAAATTACATTCACGTTTCAGTTAAACTGATGTAGCCATTCTTTTTCAATCAATTTACATGTAGTCATAAAGTGTTTATCACCTCTGGCCCAGTAACCCCAGTTTTGGAATTTTGCTGCAAGAACCACCAAAAACAAATTTTAATACATATATTCTGCATAGCCATCTACTGTAGTCTTTCTTTTAATGTTTTAATTTTGTGTTAAAGATCTATTTATTTATTTAAGAGACAGCAGAGTGGAGGGGCAAAGGGAGAGAGAGAATCTTAAGCAGACTTCACGCTGAGCATGGATCCCAGCTCCGGGCTCCATCTCACCACCCGGAGATACCACAGTATTAATAACAATGATGAAAACTGAAAGAAACCAAATGAATTTAGTTATGTGAATTCTATTCAGTGTACTATTTTGCAGCCTTTATAATCATAAGGACTGTGCTTCAACATGGAAGATTGTTTATGGAAAATGGAATCTGTAATTACACAGCTTTTATACGTATGTGGGAAAAGGCTATAAAGGATGCACAAAAATTAGAACTTTTCACATATATGAGTGATAAGATTAAATCTTACATTTGTCTCCATTCCCCACATATTCCAATTTATTGCTGTAGCTTTTAGAGTTCTTTAACACTGGAAAGGTAAACAAATTGTCTTAGTTCTAAATGTTATACCCTCACCTGATGTGAATTTATTCTAAGTTCCAAAAAGTGATCATTAGTTGCTTTTATTGTATTCATCAAGAACAATTTACATCTTTGTGGAAATATTTTTAGAGTCTTTAAAACAGATTTATTTGCATAAAAATGAGCAATTTACCCAAAAAATTCAGGCTGAATTTAACATTAATTAAAAAAAAAAGAATTAAATTGTCCTTCCCCTTTCCTCATGTGTCTGCTCTACCTGTCTGCATTGGTTCACGTTCTAATTACTTGGTTCCTATAGATCTGGTTGGGCCCATTATCTCTCTACATTTTAATAAATAGGACTATCTATAATTGTCCCTCTTTTGCATACATTGCTATGAGTTCATAGCGCACTCCCCAGGAATTCATGGAGGGGAGGGGTTTTCAGACAAAGGAACTCAGGGCATGCCCTTCCCCCTCAAAAATTGGCTTCCCCCCTTGAACTAAGCTTCAGCCTTCACCAGATCCTGAGATTGTGACCGCCTTGCTTGATCTAACCTTCCCTACCAGCTCTCATGATGAGAGGGGGCTGCTCTCAATTTCAGAGTCCCCCGTTTGCACGACTCTCTGCTACCCTGTCACTCCCCATTCAATACTGACAGCCAAGAATTAACTCCTTGGTGTGAAACGAAGTCAAATCAACTATTCCCTGATTTGCATACTTACAAAGCTAAAGATTCATAGAACAGCAACAACAAAAAGACAGAAATCCCTCCCTGTGGGTCTTCTTACACCAAAGGCCCTCTCTACAGAAGTATTGCACTTCTCACATCATTGACAGGCTTGCCACGTGACTTACTTAAGCAAAGGAAATGTGAGAACAAGTGATACGTTCCCCTTCCAGTAGAAGCTGTAAGACTCATCACATGGTTCTTCCATTGCTTTATATTTCCTCTGCCTAAAGACATCTAAACAACATCTTAGAGGGGGACTGCTTCTTCAGGCAAAGGCCAGAAATGAAGCAGAGCAAGTGTCCTGAAATGAAGTTAAAAAAAAAAAAAAATCCTTATTGTTAGGTACCACTAAGGTGTTTGGAATCATTCGTTACCCTAGCATAACCCAGCCAACACTGCCTGATACAACCTGAGTCTTCCTGACATTTTAGGAAGCAGCGAGATATAGTGAGCTAGATGTGTGACCTGGCAAATGACCCAATCTCCATGTGCCTCCTTTATAACATTGACATAATGCCTACTGTGTGAGGTTATTGTGATAAATAAATAAGTGAAAAATTATAAACACCAGCTGGTAAATACTATATGCTAAATAAACGTTAGCTACTATTATTTATTATTCTTCTTATTACTATTACAATTATTAATCTGCAACATATATGGCTTTTATCCTAATTCTGTACAGTCTCCATCACAGAGTCTGACTCATGCTCCATTTGACCTATTTTCCAAATGCCTTTAATTGGTCAGCCACTTACTTCCCTTTTGTTTCATTTCCTCATATGACCACTTGCATTCCTTTTCTTCTGCCATTACTTTTTCCTCTTTTCCTTTAAACTAGCAAAGATTTCATAATGTAAATTTAAATAGGAACGTTCAGCTCATTTTACTCGATACCCTGAATTTTGTACTTTTATAGACTTCAATCTCTTCTTTCCCTAATGGAGTTCCCAATAAATATTTCATGTACCAAAATGTCTGCTTAATGGACACCGTAAGATGTGGTAGTTTCCATTTGTAAACACAAGTATCTGAAATGGTCATAAGTTATGGAGCCGGAGTCTCCAGAAAAACTCTTTTTAGAAACCATTCTTTTCTGCTGTCATGTTCTCAAGGATGGGGAATAATGTTCTTTTCTCTTTTTCCTACGTGGGACAATTATACAAAAGGCAACCATTGTTTCTTATGACTCCTACATTTTCTGTGTCCTTAGTTTCTTTACATCTTTCTATTTTTCTCACACAAAGCATCTTTAACCATCTGTGACATTGATTTTCATTGCACCCATTTTCCTGGATTCTATACACAGAAGATACGTGTTTAAATTACCAAAATCTTACTCACCTCATTTTTCACTGCAAGAAAATAAAATAGAAAGTTCTTTCTTCAAAGTGAAAACGATTCTTTTCTGTTCAACTTTATAGATGCTTAAGGGCTTCAGGTTTGCTCTTATTACTTAACATTTTAACTGGCCACCTGGACTTCAACTTTTCCCTTAACCTGATGCTTTAATTTGTTGCCAAAATCATCTTCCTAAAATTAAAACTTGATTATTTCACTTTCTGGGGGTAAAAATATCCATGCACTCTCCAACAACAATAGAATTATTGCAGTTGGAGAATTATTGCCAAATTAGTGCAATCTTAGTTGCTAGACCCCCCTCCCTAAAGCTCCCTCTTCCTCTTATTCCTGTGACAGCACCTTCTTTTTCATCCTTTCCATTTGTTCTCCAGCTCCTTCCCAGCCTCCTTCTCTTTTTAGACCTATGAATGAGAACATTATGTCCTCAAGCCTTCACACTTCCCTTTCTATAGCCTCCCTCCAGAGACCTCGATCCTTCCCAAGTTGTCACCAGTAAATACCCATAAACATTATCTAGAGCAGTGCTGTCCAATAGAAATATAATGCAAGCCACAAATACAAGCCACATATATAATGCGAAATTTCCTAGTAGCCACATTTAAAAAGAAGTTAATATGTATTTCATAATACATATTACTGAGATAAGATGAAAATTAAGAGGGAGGGAAACCATAAGAGATGCTGAACTCTAGAAAAACAAACAGGGTTACTGGAAAGGAGGTGGATGGAGGGAAGGGATAATTGGGTGATGGGCATTAAGGAGGGCACTTGATATAATGAACACTGGGTGTTATATGCCACTGATGAATCACTAAATTCTACCTGTGAAACTAATAAATTATATATTAATATATTAATTATATAATGATATAATTAATTGTGTATTAATACGTTAATAAACTATATATTATTAAAATATAATATATATTATTGAACCAAATGTATCCAAAATATTATGATTTCAACATGTAATCAATATTTTAAAAGTGAAATATTCATCTTCTTTTGTTTTGTTTTTGGCCTATCTTCAAAATGAATGTTGACTTTCCCCTTACAGAACATCCCAATGAGGCTTAGCAAACATTTCTTTCAAATCCTTACTGGTCACCTGTGGCCAATGGCTACCATATTAGACAGTGCATATCAATGCACTAAACACTTTACCAAGATGTGCCTTTAATAATCTGTTCAACATCCCCTTATGAATGCCCTGTCAGCACTTAAGGTCGATAGGGCTAAAACAAAATACATTTCCCCCCTATACTCCCTTTGTCTCATACAAGCAAGTACCGACTCATACTCCCAACTTCCCTGTAGCTATCTATGGCCCCAACAATATAGTAGTATTTAAGTTCCAAAACTACCCGAATATTAAGGAAGCAGAAGGAATCTTTCAGGTCAGCCAGTACTACCTTCAGGAATTTCCTCTACAAAAGGGGTTCTTATCCTTTGGCTAAGATCTCTGAACCTTTGGCTAACATCTCTAAACCTCCTGGTTTTATAGACAAAAGGTACGCACATGTTTGTTCCCCTCCCCCACCCCAGGGACAATATCCTGGCTTTAGAACTCAAAAGAGTTTGAACACCATGACCTAGGCTCAGCAGTGCCTCTTCTCTCCTCTATAATGGCCACACCCAATTTATTACCAAATTCTGTCCATTCAACCTTCCAGATTCTCTAATGCACACCTATTTCTACCTTCCCACTGTCACTGACATATCATACCCATATCTTCTGGATTCCTTTAGTTATGAGAGCAAGAAACTCTGCCAGGGAGCAATGGGACCAATCTGTCACTGATAGAAAGGCAGCTATGACTTGGTCACCCATGAACACCCATGACATGATCAGGTAGGTCGAAATGATTAAAAAATGGAATCAAAACCAAGTCAGTCGGAAGAAGAGTCGTGACTAGTGTTGTCGCCAGACTATACCAGACGGCATCAGAGCCCAGTGGTCTGATGGTGGGTCTCAGTGCTCTGAGAAGAGGCTGGCTGTGGCCCTTTTGTGGGGATCCTCAACATTTCCCTGCCCAGGTACCTACAGTAGACATGCTGCCAGTCCTGGTCTCCCTTGGCCACACTTTGTCCCATGCCAAAAGATTTGTTCTCATTTGCACAAGATGGTTCTTGGTATCCTCTAGTTGGATTGAGGATGCAGTTTAAGGACATGCCCTCCAGGTATGGGTAGAGGTTGTTTGCCTCCAGAATCTAATGATTTCTCTCAGGCCCAGCCTTTCCAAGCCTGGTAACAGTTTTCTGGAAGTTGGACTTTGGGCTAACACCTTGACAACTGACTACCCCTTCCCTAGGTTTCTGTCTCCATTGCATCCTGCAGACCTCTGTCTCGTTAAACGTCCTTTTTCATAGATACACTGTCACTCCCCTTCTTACTTTTTCTTATGGGTGCCCCTCAGCCAAGAAATAAAATCAAAACTCTCTGTGACTTAAAGACTTCTCTGGGATCTTCCCTCAAAACTACCTTTTGTATCCTAACTTTCATATTTCTCTACCCATAACTAACACTCTAGAAGGGGGTTATCAGGGCCTCCTGGCTGGCTCAGTTGATAAAGCATGCAAAAAAAAAAAAAAGAAAGAAAGAAAAAGGAAGGCAAAAGGGGGATATCAGAGCTTTTGATCCCTTTGCTAGTCATTTGCCTTAGATTTTCAAAAGGACAATTTCAATCAATAGATAAGAGTCCCTGCACTAGATAAGAGTCCCACACTCTGAAACAGTCTCCTACTCAGGCGTGTCAGTGCATATTAACAAAGGTGATAGAATGGCCATGAATAATGTAAAGTACTTAAGTTGTCAGACCTCTCAGACCATAGGAGTCCTAACTTACATTCATAAGCTCATTCATGACCCTCTTTATCAGAGCCCCAACCCACTCCATGCAAACCTGAACAGGCAGGTGATAAGTCACCACTCCTTATGTCAGACATTGAAACTGAAAAATGGCCCCCGATTGCTACAAAAGAGACCAAATTGTTCTCTAGACACTATTTTGGCCCTGATGCAAATTCCTATATTGGCATCCTGCCATCTTCTCATTTCTACAAAGATTTCAGCTGCCTGAAAATTATTGATGTTTCACAAAGCAAAGGGATGATGAGACCCTCTACTATGTCTTCCTCAAGCAAGAACTGTTAATTCTGAGCTCAAACCCTTCAGTTGCTCGCTGTAAAACTCCCTCTGTTTTACAACAGTGCTGTAACTGAAACCATTCAATGTATTTCTCCCTCACACTGCTCATTAGTCAGAGTCCAAATTGCTCCATTTCCTTAATGTCTTTATCTCTACCTACTGGTGTAAGCAGAATCAATTCTGAGAGGATATCCAGAGTATTTAGTTGCTCGTGTTATTCATCAAAATGTCTACCTGGAAAAAAGAAGTCCAGTGTTGGGAGAAATAATGCTCAGTCATCACATCTCAGAGAAAATACCAAAACTGCCAGAATTTAGACCTGACAATACACCACTTCCTCACACTTCCAGTTCGATAAAGATTCAGGGAGCTCATAATCATGAATGCTGATTTTTACACAAACTGTCTTGTGAATTAGTTTTTAAAATAGTATTCAAGAATTACACAGGGCATATTTATTTGAAAACAAATTTACTTAAAACAATGAACATACTCATTTATATCTGGGAAATGGTGGATCAAATGTTAACTCAATATGTAATATCTCAAGGGAAGGAGGGAAAGGGGAATAAAAAAATTCACATCTCCAGAGGGGAGGGGTGGGGGAGGGGTGAAATCGGGGATGGGAATTAAAAAGTACCCTTGTCATGATGAGCTCTAGGTGATTAAAATTAAAGAAGAAGGAGGAGGAGAGGCACAAGAAGCCTGTGGGGTGCAACCCAAGTTTCTAGTTCTTTTTTTTTTTTTAAAGATGTTATTTATTTGACAGACAGAGACACAACGAG